CTTCTGCAAGAACAACCAGTGTTCTTAACCACTGAGCCATCTCTCCAGCCACCGCCCCCCCCGCCCCCGCTTTTGTCTTTTTAAGACAGTTTCTCTGTAGCCCCAACTGGTCTGGAGCTAGCTATGTAGACCAAACTGGCCTCCATCTCACAGAGACCTGCCTATCTCTGCCTCCTGAGTACTGGGAGTAAAGGCGTGTGCCACCAAGGTCATCTTTGTTTCACATTCCCCACCATCACCCATTAAAATGTTAATTCACCGTTAAAATATCTATAGTATTTCTTCAAACAAATACATAAAAATCTTTTCTTTGGTCACCTGCAGCTGTAAGAGACAATACTGGGGCTTATGGGTTATAGTCCTGCCCTCAGTCTGGCTTGGGCTTTCTCATCCACCAATGTGTAAGGTATCTCAACTGCAGGGTCCCATAGCCATGAACGCCACTCTGCCTTTCCCACCATGGTAGACTGTAGTCTTTCAAACAGCCTTTCTACTCTAAGTTGTTTCTGTCAGGTATTTGGTCACAGTGATATATATTACTAATAGTATGCCCAATTGTTTTCTTTTCCAAAAGAGTGTTACACGAGTGTTTATATGATTTATAGATGACTGCGTTGAAGGTTTGGTTAAGAAGAAAGGCTAAAGTACATAACAGAAACCAGCTTTTGCCTTTTCCATTAGTTATTTCATACCTGCCCTTTGTTAGAGTCTGTTTTAATTATCTCAGTCCTTTAACTGAGCTGTGTCAGCCAGAAGGGCGGATTCTCTGTGACATCTAGAGGCTGCTTTTTTTTGCTTTTGTGAAACAGGGTCTCATGTAGCCCAGGTTGGCATTCGGCTTGTTTTGTAGCTGAGGCTGACTTTGAATTTTATTAATCTTCCTTTCTCTACCTCCCAAACTGCTGAAATTACAGGCCTGCACCATTCTGCCAGATGGCTTCAGGTGTCAGCTTGACAGACTCAAGAAGAGGGAAAGTTTTTGGGGAATGTTTTTCTATCCGACTGGTCTGTGGACATCTGTGAGGCATTTTCTTGATTGTTGAGTGATGTGAGAGGGCCTAGCCCCCTGTGGGGTGGTACCCTCCCTGGGCAAGTGGTGCTGAGTTGTGTAAGAAAGCAGGCCAGGGGAGCAAGCCAGTAAGCAGCATTCCTGCATGATCTTTGCTTCAGCTTCTGCCTCTAATTTCCTACCTTGAGCTCCTGCCTTGACATCCCTCAAAGATGGACTGTGACCCTGACATGTCAGCCAAATAAAGCCTTTGCTCCCAGGTTGGTTTTGGTCAGCGTGGTTTCTCACAGCAATAGAAAGCTAACTAGGACAATCACCATGCCTGGCTTAGGCTCTACTTTTGTGGGCTTTGTTTCCATTTTGCTATGATTTTAGATCTACTAAAACAAAGTGGTAGCCTAGAATTTTGTTTGAGGTTCTTAGTTCTAAAACTCCATAGTTGCACAGAAAGAGAAATGGAGGAAACTGGCTTGGTCAGTCAGGGGAGGGAGATGTCTACACTTTGAGGAAGAAAGCACTTAAAAGGAGTCTTGGCCCCTCCCACTCCATCACTTTGAGCCAGCTCCTGGGCCTGGCCTTGGGCCTCCGCTGCCTCTACCACGGACCCACGCTCGCAAAGTCAATGAGCTTTGGGCCTTTGTGAAGGTGTGTAGGCAGGACCCGAGCGTCCTGCACACCAAGGAGATGCGCTTCCTGCGGGACTGGGTGGAGAGCGTGGGGGGTAAAGTACCACCTGCTACTCATAAAGCTAAATCAGAAGAAAACATAAAGGAAGAAAAAACAGATAATAAGAGAGAGGAAAGCATAAAGACAGATGAACCATCAAGTGAGGAAAGTGATCTGGAAATTGACAATGAAGGTGTAATCGAACCAGACACTGATGCCCCTTAAGAAATGGGGGATGAAAATGTAGAGCTAACTGAGATGGTGGATCAAGCAAATGAAAAGGAAGGGGCTGCCATCGAAGCCCTGAGTGAAGGTCAACTGCAGAAAGCCATTGACTTGTTCGCAGATGCCATCAAGCTAAATCCTCGCTTGGCCATTCTGTACGCCAAGAGAGCCAGTGTCTTCGTCAAATTACAGAAGCCAAATGCTGCCATTCGAGACTGTGACAGAGCCATTGAAATAAATCCTGATTCGGCTCAGCCTTATAGATGGCGAGGGAAAGCACACAGACTGGGGGGCCATTGGGAAGAAGCAGCCCCTGATCTTGCCCTTGCCTGTGAACTGGATTATGATGAGGATGCCAGTGCAATGCTGAAAGAAGTTCAACTGAGGGCTCAGAAAATTGCTGAACACCGAAGTACGAGCAAAAACGGGAGGAGCGAGAGGTAAAGGAGAGAACTGAGAGGGTCAAGAAGCCTTGAGAGGAGCATGAGAGAGCCCAGAGGGAAGAAGAGGCCAGAGGACAAGCAGAAGCTCAGTTTGGCTCTTTCCCAGGTGGTTTTCCTGGAGGAATGCCTGGCAATTTTCCTGGAGGAATGCCTGGAATGGGAGGGGGCATGCCTGGAATGGCAGGAATGCCTGGACTCAATGAAATTCTCAGTGATCCAGAGGTTCTTGCAGCCATGCAGGATCCAGAAGTTATGGTGGCCTTCCAGGATGTGGCCCAGAACCCTGCAAACGTCAGAATATCAGAGCAACCCAAAGGTTATGAATCTCATCAGTAAATTGTCAGCCGAATTTGGAGGTCAAGCATAATGTCCATTTGACAAAGCCCTTACTGAAGGAAAAGCAGCCTAGATCACTTAATGGATGTCGCAATAATCTAAACCAGTGTACCTCTGACCTTCTCATCAGGAGAGCCGGGGTGCTTCGAAGATAATCCCTACCCTCTGCACCAAATGCAGCTGAAGTATTTTACAATGGTTTGCCATTAGGATATTCATTCAGATAATGTTTTCCTACTAGGAATTACACACTTTAAACACTTTCTCAACCTTAAAAGCAAACTTAAAGGGTGTTGTTAATTTTCACATTTTTCTTTACTAATCCTTTTGGGTTTTTCCTTTGAATTACTGGGCAAGGAAGGTGAGTATGGATGACTTACTGGTTTTGAGTGAAATAAAGGTTGATTAGTGGGGAAAAATTAGGTTGATTCCATTTGAGTTGGACATATGGTTACTAAAGCATTTTGTCTTTTTAAAATGTTTTATTTCAAATGATCTATTTCATTACAGTGATTGGGACCACCAGTGTTTCAGTCTGGCTCGGACAGAGACCAGGAGTCCTTGGCAGAACAGCAGTCAGCGCTCTTACCGAGCCTCACTGGACAGAAACCCGGTGTAGGTTATGATTAACTCGCACTGCTGAAGGGTGATTCTTTTTTTTTTTTTTTTTATGTTGCGATGGAGTTGGATTACCTAGCTCTGTTATTGTCCAGTATTTCAAGTAAATGTTTTGTATCATTTCCACATAGAGGAAATGAGAGAGTACTTTCCTTTTTAAATTTGTCAAAAATTCCCTTTCCTGTTAGGAAATAACCCCAACCTGCTTTTTGCTTGCCCTATTTTTTGCCCTTTAATCTCCTTGAGCTTAAAGATACTCATTTTTCACCAGTATCACTGCTGTCATCACTCATAGCTGTGGACACATTTATTGGTTGGTTGAATTTGACATGTAACCCATATGATAACTGTATAGTAATACCTGTAACAGCTGTGGCATCTTACTCAGCCATGGGATTGCTTATTTAAATGTTAAACTATGACTCTTGTGAACTCATTTCAGAAAACTGGAAGGAGGGATTCCCTTTGGTATTAGGTATACTTTAGAAATTGCAAAAAAAAAAAAAAGAAAAATTTCAATTAAGAGTTTATCTTGTATATGTCTTTGTATTTTGAAGATTTAAAGTCAGCTGCGTCATCTAATGTGGTTTATAAAAGAGATGAGAGCCATGTTACTCATTTGGAGTTGTTGGTACTATGTTGTCCTACTCGGCTCTTAAGTACTGCAACCACACCTCCACCTCTGCTTTCTCTCCCCGTGCAAGGATAAAAAAAAAGGTAAAATCCATGGAGTTCATACCTAAGTGTTCATCATACATACTTGGATCTGAACTTACCAGATGTTTGTTCGTGTGTGTGTTCTTAAAGTTCCCAGGATGTGCTGTGCTTTACTCAAGAAGATTAGTTTCTTTTGGACGCTGATTATATGTGACCTATTTATATTCTAATATTGCAAATATTACCATAAATGGGTAAAACATGTGTCCTGTGCTTTTAGACTTCTAAATTCCATAAATAGTAAAAAATACAGTCTTCATTTTCATAAAGACTCAGTATCATTTCTAAACCAGAAATGTTTTGTGGGTTGCTTTTTTGCACTAAAGATACTAAAGGAAAAAAAATGCTATAAGAAAGTAAAGGAGTTTTCTGCTTAAAAACATATAGTGAATCTTTCCAAGTATGCTGAAAAAAAAAAGGAGTCTTGGTCCCCAGCACTGCAGGGTCCTTGTCAATGTTGGCAGCTAAGAGGGTGGAAGGATATGAGGTCACAGCTGGCTTCCGAGTGGATCTGGGGGACAGAGCAGAGAATAGTGTGTGTCTAGATGTATGTAGCATACAAGGCCATCACTGTCAGTGGGGTTGCCCTTCATGCTTGGCTTGAGGAAAGGCTAAAGATTCTGGGGTGATTGATTAGCTCTTAGGGAAGAGTCATCAGGATTTATGGGATGGGGTTGAGGCTGAAAATGAGTGGGTAAAAGGTGAGCTGAAAATGTCACGTTTTCTTTCCTTCTATTTGTAGGAAAGGCAAATCTATGTAATTGCTTACAAGGACTTTTTTCAAAGGTCTGGCATCTGTATGTGTAAACTTGGATTTGAGATTGTGTTTAGAAACAGGCTACAGACTGCCTGTCTGGTGGAGTCACTGCTTTTCTTTCATATATGTATTTGTATACACATATGTATTAGTTTTGAGAGAGTACAAAATTAGTGAAAATTATTTAGGAAGCATTAAAGGTTTACAGATAACAAATGACCTAGGCAGGGTAACTTCAGGAAATTGTTATTTCTTGAAGAAGATGGGAATTTGGAAAATTTGAGTGTTAAAATGACTGAAAAATTAATCATGGAAATGAACTTGGAAAATGACCTAGCTTAAGAAAATATTATTTCTTCCTTAAGCTTTTGATAACAGAAAAATTAAAAAAAAAACAAAGCTATGGGGGCTGGAGAGATGGCAAAGCAGTTAAGAGCACTGGCTGCTCTTGTGGAGAACCCAGATTTTGTACCTAGCACTCACATGGCAGTTAACAACCATTTGAAACTCCAGTTCTAGGGGATCTGAAACCCTGTTTTGGCCTCCACGGACATTGCATGATACAGGTGCACCTACATACAAGCAGGCAAAAGACTGATACACATAAAATAAAAAAATCAATTGATTAATTTAGAAAACAACTATAAAAAGCAGGACAGCAAGAAGGCCCATGTGAGCTATTAAGCAAAATATCAGGATGGATTCATTGAAAAACCAGTCCAGGTCTGGAGAGATGGCTCAGTGGCTGAAGGGGCTTGCTGCCAAGCCTGATGACCTGAGTTTGATCCCTGAAACACATGGTAGAAGGAGAGAACTGAGTCCTGCAAATTCTTTTCTGATCCTCAAACATATGCCATGACATGTGCGTACATGCACACATACATACACATACACACAAAATAGACAAATGAATGATAAAAAAACCCATAAACAACCAGTCTACATTTTATCTACATGTTGAATTCCAGAATAAATCTAATAATTTTAAAGCTGTGTTCCATTTTAAAAACTGTTAAGTTTTCCTTCTCTTATTATTTTTGAAATATGTTTTCTTTTGAAAGAAAAGGAAAACAAAAATCATAGTTTTATGATCAGCTTTTTCATATTTAGAAATGCCATGTTAATTTTTTAGGAGAAAGAATATATTGAAATGGTTTTACTTGGTTAAATTTGTTCTTCAAATGAGTAGCCTTATTGCTTTGATTTTTCTGCTTCCCTTGGGCTCTTTTTTCACAAATATGGTGTCTTTTTTAACCCCTCTTGCTGTGAAAGAATTCAAGGAAATGAGAAAACAAACAAACAAATAAACAAAAAACAAAAAAACCCTCCAATTTAAAAGTCATTTGAATATTCTTGTAATTGTCTCAGAACTTTCCATCAGAGAAGCTTTCTGCAGTAGAAGTATAGTCACCACAAGCGCATCTTGAACTTTTTAAGGCTGGGTTGTAGCTCAGTGGTAGCTTACCTAGCAAGAGCAAAGCTCAAGGTTCCCTCCCTAGAACGTCCAAAAAAGGAAAAAAATCACACAGCACAAAGTTTGCTGGTCATGGTGGTGCATGCCTATAAACTTAGCACTCAGGAGGCTGGCATAGGAGGACCACCACAAGTTCAAGGCCTGCCCGAACTGCATAGTGAGTTCTAGGTCAGCCAAGGGCTACCTAGGGAGAACCCATCACAAACAGCAGTGATGACAAAGAGATATTAATAAGTTCAAGTGCAAGGGGGAGAGGGGGTAGATATGATCAAGATGAATGGTTTACATGTATGAATCATTAAAAGATACTCTAAATAGTAAGGTGTTCATAGTTCCCAATCCCTGTCAGCCTTTTAATTCTAATTTATCAATCATAAACTATTGATTCGTGTTTTAAGAGATGTTTCGGGCCAGTTGGTTATTGGCACTATATTCTATTTCAGACTTGATATTTTATTCCATATGTTAATGGAAAATTCCCATTATTTATATAGTGCTTTATTTTGACATCTGTGTGGCATTTTTGTCACGTATAGGCCTTTTTTGGTAACAGGTGGATGCCTTAAAGTGCGCAATTATTTTAGGCTTATTTATTTCAATTCTACTTATGTGTCTGTGTGTAGTGTATGCATATGACTGGAGGTGCCCATGGCAAAAGGAGGGCACTGGATCCTTAGAATTAGAGTTAAAATATGGGTTTGTGAACTGGCCAGTGTGGGTGCTGGAAACTGAACTCCATCCTCCACAAGAGCAGTATACAGCTATTAATCACTGAACCATGTCTCCAGCCCCTAAAATCATTATTTTAAATGCCCCCTGTCTCCCAGGTTCTCTTAGGGTCCCTTGCTCCTGGCACTATTAGACAAACCATATAACACATCTTTATCTGATTTCTTCATAGTTTATATTTTGCATAGAGGAAATAGAGTTACGTAAAAAGGCGAACACCCAGTGCCCCACCAAAGATGAACACCTGGTGCCCTGTTCTGCTCTGTGGCTCAGCAGCCTGCCCACAGTCTCTGCTAGCTTTTGTCCATGCCTTGTGGGCCTGCAGTCTCGCCCCAGGTCAGTAAATGTCCCCTCTTGAGTCCACAGGGGCGAGACATCAGGCCCATTTTTTCTCCACGCCGTCTGCTTCCAAGATGGTGCCAATGCTCCCTCCATGGCTAACTCTCCACAGCTCCCTCTCTGTAGCTAACTCTCTGCAGTCAATTCTCCGCAGCAGGCCCTGCCCCCCCTCAGAGGAACAAGTGCCCCTCAGGACAACTCCCCCCAGCAAGCCATTAATAATTAGGATGATTAATCCTTTGTCTTTTTCCAGGTTGAAGTTGTAAGGCAGTGGCAGCCCTTAGATCTGTATATTGGACTCACGGCTTGAACATCCATGTACAGTGGTGTTTGGGAGGCTCATGTTTATCATTAGGGATGGTGTCTGTCACATGCTGCTGGGTGGTACAGGCTTCCTGTACATTTTCCCATATCCTTCTCCAGCTACCCAATGTGAGAGGAATTGCTCAGCTTTAGACGTGAAACTCCCAGACTCTTTTCCTAGTTTGTTCAGCTTTCATGAGCAGGCCATTCCCTGGCGAGATGG